ACTCAAAGGAATCTCAAGTCCTGTTCCTCCAGGAAGCCCTCCTTGACTACAAACATATCTGGACTAAGCACTCCCATCAAAAGACAAAGTTGTGTGTGCTCCCAGGCCTCTGAGGAGGAAGCATAATTTATCCTACTTGCCTTTTCCAAAGGATAAAGGGGTTTCACCATGTTGGCCAGGATGGTCTTGATCTCCTGACCTTGTGATCCGCCTGCCTCGGCCTCCCAAAGTCCTGGGATTATAGGCATGAGCTACCACACCTGGCCGTATTAGTCCACTTTTAACAGCTTAAAAGCTTTCAAGGACTTTGGTAGATCCTGCCACCCTCCCTTCCCTTACACCTTCTTATCTTCCCAGTCAAACCTCTCTTTCCTCTCCAGTCCTTTCTGGGTGATATCCCAGTGCTCAGTAGGGAAGGAACGCCAGTTACTTAGGAATATGTCAGGTAAGCCTCAGACCTCCACAGTGTAATACTAGTGTTGAAGAGGGTAGCTTGGACCAGGCCAGGGGGCTTAAGCACGAATTTGAATGGAGCCCAAAACCTAGAAGCAGCAAATTCCCAGAAGACCAGGAATGAAAGATGGGTAGAGTGCATATTTTTGTTTGGATGCCTAGGTTGATCAGAATTCTCCATCTCCTGACTGCGGCCACAATATTGACAGGTTGCTAAGAGTTCCTCGAGGGCTGGAGCCCATCCCAGGGAAAGAGGAAAGCTGCATGGCTTGGCCTTGCCAGACCCACAGAGGCTCATCGCTGACCTCTGTCTTGCTGTGGCAAGAAGCCCAGACTTGTTATATAAAAGATCTGGCCTGCAGCTGGAGCCTAAGCAAAAACACACAGCCTAGGGCCCATGCCTCTAAACCCAGCCAGGGAACATCTGAGGCCAACCCTGCTTTGAGTTGACAAAGAGAAAGCTATCTGAGGAGTGGGATGGTGACTTCCTAAAAGGTTGAAAGCAGGAAATGACAGAGGCAGAAACAGGTGGGCTACACAGAAGCCTGCCATCTGACAAACAGGGATGGAATAATGGGCTTGCACACTCAAAGGAATCTCAAGTCCTGTTCCTCCAGGAAGCCCTCCTTGACTACAAACATATCTGGACTAAGCACTCCCATCAAAAGACAAAGTTGTGT